TCTTTCTTTCTCTTTCTCTTTCTCTCTCTGTGTGAGTCTGTGTGTGTCTGTGGGTCTGTGTGTTAATTTTGGAACCTCTTCTGTAGGGGTGGCCTGCTTTCCGGGTCCACTGGTGGAACCTCTTCTAACCGGTTTGGTAGATTTGACGAACCGGTTCTACCGAACTGGTGCGAACTGGTAGGAACCCACCTCTGGTGCCCCCTCAGGGCCCAAAGCCAACTGGCAAAGTCAAGTCTTAATACCATTTGGGAAGATCAAAAGGGTGAAAGCAGGTATTTCACAGGGACATAGGGATATTCTACAGATATACTGGGGGAGTCCTTGACTTTTACTTTAGCTCACAGCCATGAGTCAAAAAAAATTAACCGAATGTCAATATTTTGCCTTTTTTTTCCTGATATTTTGCTTTTGTTCCCTCTGAGGCCTCATTCGCATGTACCTGTGTCATAAATTGCTAAGAAAAAATTACACTTTAAAACAAGGGTGGTGTACACTTACCTTACCTACCGGTTCGCAAATGTGAGCGCATGAGCCACCTCCGCGTATTCGCACAGCTTTCTGTGCATTTGCTTTTGGTGAAAAGGTGGCCTAAATCCGGCCCGGGGCCACCCACGATTTCTGCTACTGGTTCAAGCGAACCGGTCCGAACCAGTAAAATATTACCTCTGCTTTAAAACCTCGCTAACACGGGCAGTTCTGCGGCTGCACATCTGCTTAGGGAACAAAAAGAATCTGGTTTGTTCCCCCATCAGCCCTGTAGGCCAGATAAAGTCAGAGGCGGAGTCCGTCCCTTGAAGTCATTTGTTTTCCCATGTAGGAACAGGTGTAAGGTGTGTCTCCCCATCTGTTTGTGCTTGGGGAACATCCAAGTATAACAAAACAGAAAAACAGTGCTTTTTTTAATTTTTTAACCTCATATCATAAAGAGCACTTTTCTTCCCGCTGCAAACAGACAGAAAATCACTTCACTTGATCCTGTCCAGGAGAAACGAAAAGAGTTATTGTGCTTGGTAGACAGATAGGATTTGTTATATTTCCCTCTTTTTCTTTCAGCCCAATAAGGATTAGGTAGGAGGTGAAGTGGAGACTCAAGATCTACCATTCAGCCAAAACAGCAAGAGAGGTACAGGAAAAGAACAAGGAACAGTCTGGGGCCAAATATAAATAATCCTCGATTTATGATTGGCCACTTAGCAAATTTTGAAGTTATGACAGATCTCCCCAGTGCTACTTCGGACTTGTTTCGACCGTTCTCCTCCCCAAATCCAGTCACATTTTTGGTGCTTGGCAAGTGGCCTACATCAGGCTGTTTACAGTTCCCATGCCTGCAATTTATGAGTTTTGTTTCCAACACTTCAAAAACACTCCTTGGCTAAAATGGGTTTCCTGAACAATCACAGTATTTGCTTAGCAACCCTGGCATTTGCTTAACNCAGTTCCTGCAACCGTTCTTCATATGTTTTAGTCTCCAGTCTCCTAATTTATTTGTTTCAAAATTCTCCAGTTGAAGAAAGAGTGCTTAATACTGATTATAATAGCTTCAAACCATGCATAATAAAAATGACTTAAATTTAACCTTGGGTATAAGTCAACTGGACATTGACAATTAGTTCTGAGTAAATATCTATAAAATTGGGCTGTAAGACTAGTTCTGAAAGGACATTTCTATAGGACTCTTGAAGTTTGACTTGAGAATGGGACTGGCTTTCAATTAGGACCAGAGTATTAATTTTGTAATAAAATCTTCCATTATGTCTGTAAAGCTTTTGTTTACAGTTTCTGTATGGAGACAATTTATCCTACTCTGCAGCTGGAACAAAAATCAATAAACTAGGAGAAAACCATTGACTAAAACAACTCTTTATATAGGACCATTAAGTTATATTTCAAAGCAGCGGGTCTTCGAGAAGGATTGTCCAGTTATGTAAAAAAATTGACTTCATGTAGTTACACGAGCATGGAGTACATTATTTTCCAGGTGTGTGGTCTTAAACGTCTTTATCTTACAAAGCATCCATCTGTTTTGCAGGTGGAAAACCTGACACTGAAAATTGAACAAGAGACGCAGAAGCGCTGCCTCATCCAGAATGATTTCAAAATGCAAAGCCAGCAGTTGAATGCGCTAAAGGTGTCAGAGAAGCAGATAAAACAAGAGAATAACCATCTTCTTGAAATTAAACTAAGCCTAGAGAAGCAGAATAACGAGCTACGGAAGTAAGTCCCTTCGGCAATAAAGGTCCTGTTTCACTGCAGTCGATTGTGACTCAAAATTGAGCTGTGGAAAGTTAAATTCTGGTGTACCGGCACATAAGGTTTCAATCAATTCTTCAGCAGTGGCGGTACTATTATTATTGTTTCTTAAATTTACATGCCGTCCAGGGGTGGGTTCCGGCTTCTTCTATTGCTGGTTCACTCAGGTACGTGCACGCTACGTGCTCATGTGCAGTAGTAAGAAATGCTTCTGTCTATGTGCAGAAGCAAAAAATAAATAAAATATGGTGCCACGGGTAGAACCAGTTCAGGGGCGTGGCTGGCCAAGTTACTACCTACTCAGCCTCCAAACCAGTAGGAACCCATCTCTGATGCTGTCTAGCTCCCCTATCAGGCAAATGAGCAGCTTACAGATCATAAAAACATAAATATTAAAGCAAATTAAAATGTTAAATATATGCAAATTTAAAATTATTCAAAATGTAGGCCCATGAGATGGCTAGCATGGGGATGAGGTCTTCTTATTCCATCATCCACCTCCAGTGTTGCATGCCCCCCAGTGGTGGGTTTCAAAAAATTTTCGAACCTACTCTGTGGGTGTGGCCTCCTTTGTGGAAGTGGCTTGTCGGCCATGTGACCTGGTGGGAGTGGCTTGCCGGCCATGTGTGTTCTCTCTCTCTCTCTCTCTCTCTCTCTCTCTCTCTCTCTCTCTCTCTCTCT